AAAATCCATTCTGTAGAAATAATCCAAAAATGTGCATTTATCATTAGCGAAAAAAACGAAAAAAAAGAGCACAGATGTTACTCTTTCACTTTTAACGGACTTTTAGCTTTGTTTTTCACCCAAACATCTGGTATCTACGTGTTCCTTAGCTCCTTATCTTTCAAATGAGACTACTCCCGAAAAGCTAGACCAATTTTTGGGTCTGCAAGAGCTCCCGTAAGTACAGCTAGTGCTGCCGTTTGCGTATGGATCACTGATCTTTGTTGTGATCCCAACTTGTTTGCTTTTACTTCCGGGATTTATGATTGACATATCCTTGTAGCCAATGAGGAAAGCTTTCGAACAAGGGGTGGGACAATGGTGTCCTGTCTTATGTTGTGCCTGTAGAATTGTGCGTAATGGCAGCCAAAAGACGCTCTCGAAGCTGCAATGAATTTACACTCATAAAAAAATAACTTTGACATTTAAAAAAAAAAACACACATAGATTAGTAACTTATAAGTACCAATAATAAAAAATATTGTTTTTATGATGATTAAATGTAAGTAAAGATATTTGGCACAATTTGGCACACTTGTGCCAAATTGTGCCAAATGTGCACTACTTGATGAAAAGGAGAAACTGCATAAAAACTGTAAAACTTAGAAGTCTGAAACTTTAGACAGTTGTTGTCAACAACACAATGAACAGAGGGTTTGAATATTGTGAACTTACAATGAAGTATGCCTTTTTTAGGGCCTTTAGAAATTGAAAATGTTAGGCGAGGCTAAAAAAATTGATTTTTTTCCCCAAACTTCAAAGGATGCAGAGGAAAATAGGAATGACAAACATTATTTTAGTGTTTTTTTACATAAACTAGAAGGCTCTACCTTTAAAATGATGCATCACACAAGCATGTGAGATGTAAGATGTGTTTTTAAATAAGCAAAGACATTTGGGTATGCCCAACCATTGTGCACGAGCCAAAATGAGGCGGATGTTAAGAGGTTTTAAATCCTTCTGTTTTCTTTAAATCCACACTTTACTGCCACGGACTCTGCTCCTTTCCTTCCCGCTCTGACTCCGCTCTTCCGCTGCTCTGATCAGCAGCTCTGATTGGTCAGAGCGCGGCCGAGTCCCTTTGTGCACATGCACGTTTGGCGCACGTTTGGCGCAACGCGTCATGGGAGCTAATCCAATGCGCAGAACCGGGAGGACCAGACGATGCCCAAATATAGGCGAGTTCTGCTAATCTCCCGGTCTCCGTGAAGTCCCATGCGCTACTGAGCACAAGCGATTGATTTGAATAGGGCGCCAACTTGGATCACCGGGGCTTGGTACAGACAGACACCAACCTTAACCCTGTTCTTTCTCAAGTATGCAAAATATAACATGTTTTCTAATCAGATTAATTGTGGGCTGAATTGATAAGTGAATTGAATTGCGGGAGACAGGGCGGTGGGATGTTGGGGTGATAATGATAAAATGAGGGACAAAATGTATACATAAACATTTTTGTCTTCCGACTGTTCCTGTTTGTTCATGCTGCACGAATTTTAAGACAATACATATGATGTATGTCATGTGATGACATGGACAAATATTATATTAATAGATAATTAATAAACAAATGTGTTGTTTCTGAAATAAAAGAAAAGGCCACTCCATTGTACACGGTGCTTTGGCGGTTCTTAAAGGGTTAAGACACATGACCTCACATGTCTCTTTCACATCGCAGGCTGAGAGAGGGACGAGCAGGACGGGACATGTCCAGAATACGACCCATTACACATACACACACACTATAGACTACACAGAAACACAACACACACACACACACACACACACACATGCACTGACGGAAACACTCACACCAGCACACACACACACCATAGACACACCAACACACATACACACTGGCATAAACACCACACATGCACACACTATAGACTACATAGAAACACAACACACACACACACACATCATAGACACACTAACACACACACACACACACCATAGACACACCACACATGCACACACTCGTCCAAAGCACCAGGAACATGTTTACAACCCACAGGTCAAGGACTACGGGAAAGATATGTGCTAACACAATCACAGACTGAGGGGTCCTGGGGCCTGGGGCCACTGGGACGGACACACAGAGAATATAGACTGTGTGAAGTTATTCTATCGACTGTTTTAGGGGCCGTCACCCACACAGGCTCAAGCTAAGGTGACAGCAGAGTTTAAGTTTAGTTTATTCCCTCAACGTGATCAGTTAAAAACAAAATTAAAAACTCGTCAACAACAGAATGATTTTGTTTTAAAAAGCTTCTGTTACATATCGATAATCAATTACGCTCATTTTGAATCATTGAATACTGTCTGAATCCAGTCAGGGATCTATGGTCTCAGGATCTATGGTCTCAGGGTTTTCCTTACACATTTCCCTCGCACTTCTTTGTAAGGGGGTTACACTGGGTTTTCCTTACATGCCATATGAAAACAACTTGGCATTTAACCTGTCTTGCGATATCATCATTGTTCAGAGGCATATCCAGTGTGAGCATTCTGACCAAATATAGCAGTAATTTAGACATCCATAAAACTGTTTCAAAACCCCTTTGCTTACATGTAGATCAGGGGAAGAAAGTTATGAGTAAAACTACACACAAGGGTACAATAGTTTGCATAGTGATAGCGAAACAAGCCGTGGAGTCATGTTTGGGTGAGTGAAGTTCTTACCAACGGAGTTTGGGCTGTCCCATGCACTGACTGTATGTTTATCAAGTTCTTGTATGTTTAAGTATTTATATTGCAAGTTTATCTTGTGTGTATAATACATTTTAACATGTTAGAGAACTTATTATTAGTTTGTTTTAACCCATTTTCACACGTTGCTGGTATCCCCATGGTGAAAAGCCAGGTCCAATGAAATGTAGATCTGTCCTATTGTTCCGTGATGCAAAAAGCAGAGGGACGGGCCAGCCCTGTCTCTTTGATGGTCCTCTCTCTTTTCTGAAGCTCGCCATTCAATATTAGTAAGTAAGTAATATTTATTTATATACCGCCTTTTCACTGCACATCGGAGTCTCAAAGCGGTTTACAATTGTTATTTTTGGGAGTGGGGGTGCCAGTACATGAGGCACATGTCAGACCTATTGTACATATTTTTAGTGGTGGAAACCGGAGCACCCAGAGGAAACCTACGCAGACACAGGGAGAACATGCAAACTCCACTCAGAAAGGCCCTGGTCCAACCGGGATTTGAACCCAGGACCTTCTTGCTGAGAGGCGAGAGTGCTATCCACTCAGCCGCCGTGCCGCCCTATATTAGAATAATTACCTTTTAGTCAAATTATTAATGAATAACAGTTATTCATATGAATAATATAGGAATGCAACTCAATCTTAGGTCTGACCTTATTTTTGCAATGCTTTCGTGTGTTTGAGTCACCGTATGAATGACTGCCTTGGATCCCTACGGTGGACCTCTTCTGGGCCTGTCCACACCAGTGGCTCTGGTCCTGGTTGAAGATTTGCCTAAACTTAGCCACACGTGTGCTGCAGCTGGTGTTGCGCTAATCTCTGCTGCACATATGTACTTTTATGTTGTTCTTTCTTCAAACACTTAAGTATCCATTACAAAGAGCGCGTGAGGAGGTGACAGGAGCAGGGCCAGGCTCCAGACAGAGACAGGTGCAAAATAATGAGCCCAATGTACGTCACATTAGTCAGTCACTATAAGTCATCTTTGTGTATGTAGGACATTTTCATAGACAAACAGTTACAATGATTACTGTTACATAATCAAAGTATGTGCCTCAAGAAAAAGTACAAGCAATCAAGGTTTGTTTCCAAACTTGTACAATTTACAATAACATGGTATAAGACAAGACAACACACACTTACACTCAAGACACAGGCCCGGACCACAGCCTCTCTCCAACTACACTCTCAGAATCACTCTCTCTCCCTCTTCCAATACACTCTCACTATCACACTATTACTCTCTCTCTCTGACTACACTCTCACTCTTACACTATCGATCTCACTCACCCACGTAGGGTTTTCTAAATGCAATCTGGTTTGAGCATGTTTTTAAATAATCTGTTAATCTGCTCCATGTGTATCTCAAAGCATGTATCTTACACTGAGATACACATTGATTTTAAAGCACTTCTAAATACAGGCACATACTTTTGTATTTACCCCCGTATGATTTGGAATATGAAATTATGGGGAGCATCTCTATCACGGAATAAGTTATGTAGATGAGGTGCAGCAAGTTTCCAGATGTTTTCTTTAGATTTAATGACACTTTAATTTGTTAATTTCCACACTAACAGTGGACACCAAATCATCACCAGCACTTATAATACTGGTGTAATAAATAAAAAGCATGAATTAAATTACATTTGTTATTTTGTCATATCAATGTATGTACTTTATGAATGCTGTGGATCCCAGTATTGCGTTTGTCATCCTTCCACAAATCTCCAACCATTTCTTTGATATTCCAATTTTGCCATATCTTCCTTTTTTGTATGTTAAGATACAAGTATAAATGGTATTAAACTCCTTTTGAAGATCAAATATACAGTATATATATATATATATATATATGTGTGTATATATATATATATGTATGTGTGTATATATATATGATGTATGTATGTATATATATATATATATATATATATATATATATATATATATATATATATAAATATATATATATATAAATATATATATATTATATATATATATATAATATATAATATATATATATATATATATATAAATATATATATATATATATAAATATATATATATATATATATATATATATAATATATATATATATATATAAAATAAATATATATATATATATATATATATATATATATATATATATATATATATATATATATATATATATATATATATATATATATATATATATATATATATATATATATATATATATTATATATATAAAAAATTCCTCTCTTCATCGCCTAACCCGGCACAATAGCTGGGATGTGAGTGACGTGCTTGGCCTCAGCAGAAGGCGTCCGTGCGCTCTGCTCCTCCGGACTGTCACTCTCTTTGTGGTCCTGGAGGTTTATGAGGCCCACGTCGAGCGCGCCTCTCAATGGCCCTTTGTGGAGTGCGCACAGGCCCTGCACATGGGAAAAGCAGCCACTCGGAGGAGGCAGGCCCATCCATCTTTGGGTCAGTCAAACTCCCGTTGCTGCTGAAGAGCTCCCCGGGTTAACTCGCTGGAAAATTGCCTTGCATTTTGATGAGTCCACGAGAACTGAAAGCACAACACAAGGAGAAGGGTGCATGAAGAGCAAGACCAGGACGCTTGTTTCCGCTGACTGGGGCTGCCAAGATCAGGGTTTACTTATAGTTTAGTTTATTTGGACGATTGTATAGTACGATGCTTACTAGTCACCACTTTCCATACCAATATTCATGATCGCGGCACAACATTTTCTGTGCTTCAATATACACTGCAAAAAGTAATAAAAAATAAGTCAGAAATTGCAAACATTTGGTAAAATATTTCCTAATTTTAGCATTAGCCAATGGGACAAGTAACATTGTCTTGTATTAAGATACAATAATGTACTCAGAAAAACCCTCTAATCAAGAAATTATTATGTCATATTTTAAATTTTTTTGCAATGTAGATACAGACCTCATTTTAAATCTGAGAGCCCAAATCCAGTCACTCAATCTTTACAATCTGGGCAGGTTAAAGCTAGGGTACCTAACTTTTTTGTTAACATTAACTTTGTTAACTTTATCTTATGAGGAAACACGTTATCTTATGTTGAGAAATGTAAGAAAGAGCCCTGTGAGTTGCTATTTGACGCTTTGGGCTGCAAGCTGATTGGCGGAGTGACAGGGGTCGTCTCTTTTTAACTTAAAGGCTGTTCCAGAATATCCTGAGAAAAAAGAAAAGAGGAATTGTGGACAGGTCACGAAAAAGGAGCGGTCATCACGCGGCGCTGATGGCTCCGTAGGGGGGGCTTTGTTAATGGGCTGCCCCAGGGCCAGTGTGACCAGTGCTGGACAGTTGTGGATGACGGAGCAGGAGTCATGAGTGTCCACTCCATCACTAGTGACACCATAGGACAGAAGAGATCACTAACTTTATTCAGCATGTTTCTTCTTTCTCATAAGAGAGAGACGTTGTAGGTCAAGTTGTGTGTTTAGCTATAGCTACGCTAATATCATTTTTTTTTTTTTATGAAAAATTGCGACAAAAAATGTAATCATGTAGCCAATAATAAGTTACATACATTTAGATATTTTGTTCTGTTTTTGGTGGCTTGAACATTAGGTACTCCAGCAAAATAATACAAAGGATCTCAACATGTAATGAATGGTGGTGGTCTGAGGGGCCAATGGCACAGATTTGTAGCCTTACTTAAGTCAGTCTTGAATGGTTAGGCATGCAAAGCATCAAAAAGGCGCAATCTCAAACTTTGGCTAGGATTTGGCTTTCTGTTTCAAAGGCCAAATTGTGGAAGATCACCGCCACAGCGATATTATTTTCATAGAAAAAGCTTTGAGTAAGAGAATATCCTTTAGACATAGTGGGTCTCCTTTAAACCAAATGTAACAAGTGCACGGCAGATGGATCATTGAGTTGTGATGATGGATTGGCTGAAATAGAGCAGTAGCAGTTGACAAAATCTCTCACAAGTGTAAATAGATTAGTCTTCAATAGAGTATGGATTCCCAGTGACAGGAGTGTATAGTGAGCATGTTCGATATGCAGCGCACTGATCTGCTGCTCAGCTCTAATGAAGCCCCTGAGGGTCAAAAAGCTCAAAGACTTCAACACCTCTGCGCTGACACGGAGCAGGCCATAAGACTGCACTTGTATTACAAGAGACATTCTGTGCACTCCTTTTTTTCCTCTTTCACAACACTTTCCCTCCAGCGACACTAATATTTGGAACTTTTAGTTCAAACTGGTCTCTTCCCTCTCACAAAACACTATATTGAATCTGCAGCGCCATTTACCTTGGAAGTAAAAAAAAGAATCCACTGATATCCGTGGCGTCAGTACATCTAGAACAGCACGGTAGGATCACACGCATGTAGATTTAAAAAAAAGGACCAAATAACTTAATTACCGCCTTGCCTACAGTAAATGCATACTTTGGAGCAAATTAGCTTTTGGCAGTTGCAGGTTTCACAAGTCGTCCAACTTACAAAGATTAGAGCAGTCCTTAATTTTCATCACACTACACGTAAGAAAGTAATGTTTATTTATATACCGCCTTTCACAGATCAGTCACAAAGCGGTTTACAATTGTTATTTTTGGGCATTTGTCTTCTCACTCCACACAGAGATGGGAGTGGGGTCGCCAGTACAGGAGGCACATGCCAGACCTATTGTAAATTTTTTTAGTGGTAGGGAAAACCTACGCAGACACTGGGAGAACAGGCAAACTCCACTCAGAAAGGTCATGTTCCGACCGGGATTTGAACCCACGACCTTCTTGCTGAGGGGCAAAAGTGCTATCCACTTAGCCACCGTGCCGCATGTCAACAATGATTGATAGAACACACACAAAAAAATAAACAGGCAATCCATATAATTTTATAATAGGGTGTGAACATAAATAACTGACCAATAATAAAAGTAGTAATGACCAGGCCAAACATTTTTAGTAGGTCACCAGGTTTCCACACTGGAGCTGGTATTTTAACCCGTTCTTCCTAGCTTTCAACTCCCTGAGATTTTCCCTTCCACAGGTGCGGGACTGACTAGTGTTGCCATCGTGGTCATAACATGACAAAATGTGGGCTTCAAGCTGTACGGACACTCTCGCAAGGCACTGTATAGTTGAACCAACTTTTATAGCATTGTTTTAGGGTGTACTAATTTAAAATAATAATTCTTGGGAGTCATAGATTGTCAGTGTGAATCAGAAGTATAAGTCCCCTGTTTAATTGCAGCAGTGGCTCAGCTGTTTGCAGGTCAAAAGCATGTGACTGACAGGTGGGGGGCAGGGGCAGAGGCCATGTTTGGGCAATGCTTCCTGCTTGCGTTACTGTCGCATCTACGTGTTAAAGGCTCAAGCTTTTTGACCCCCAAGGGCTTCTTCAGAGAGAGAGAGGCAGCACGGCACCAGAGTTAAACACTGGACACAGGGGAACCTCTGGCCCTTTGCACCAGGTCAGAATAAACACGGTCACATCAGAGGCCACCACAGACCACAGATAAAGTTAGCCATCAGCAGATTGTTTTCCTTCAAAGGAGCAAAAATGGCTAGACAAATACGCAGGCAAGAAAGTAAGTGAAGTAGGTAAAACAGTGGCGTGGTCAGTACAGGGGGAACAATGGCAGCATGCTAAAGTGGCAAACACATTAATTAGAAAATATCCAACCCAGGTCTATGACAGGGTCTACATTTAAACCAGCTCCACCTCACAAACAAATTACTACTATAGTTTTATATTTTCATTATTGTGTCCCTTCAACATGACTTTGAAACCTCACCTAATTTCCTGATTCATAACTTTAAATAATTCCTGTGTGTAGGAAAGATATGTGATGAAAACCAATGGGAATTTTAACCCCCAATGCAAGCTGTTGTAGATTTCAGAAATGTCTCCATAAAGCTGTTTTATACTAATGATTAATCATGTGTTTTTATAAAGTGTGCTTATATTGATCATTTGGTGTTTGCATAAAAAGCCTTGTGTATAATGTTTAGCCTGAGTCCAGTGAATTCAGGGAAGATTCAAGGACAAGGGTTGGTTTCTGTGATATAGTATCCTTTTAGGAACGGAGCATGCCTCTCTTATCGGGTCAAGGGATGAGACCAGACCCAGACCAAACTCAGAAGACTAGAAAGAAGCCAGATGACGTCTGGCACTTCCGCTTTCTTTCATACATTTTCATAAAAGTGTTTGGTAGGACATTTTTGTTGAGCAGTCTGAGCCAGGGACAGAGAGAGATGACTTTGCAGAGCACCTGGTTGTCCTCTCAGTACATTGTCAGGCCTGGAGGGATAGCTAAGTTGGCTCAGCTCAAAGGGTTAGGTATAGAAATAAGAGCTCTGAGAGTTTTGTATTAATATTAAATTGTGAAGAGAGTTCAATTTTGATTGATTTTGAACTGTTGAATCTTGGTCATATTTCTGTATCAAATTCTGAGTGATGTCCTGCTCATTGACAATAAAGCTGTTTTAAATTTTAAAAATGTAGTTGTAATGTTCATTGGTTGTCATAATGGAACGAGTTTGAGAACAAAATATAGAAACAGATGTTGCAGATTTGCCTGGTATTAGCATGAATGGATATGAATACAATTCTAGGTCTGTTATTGATGTTTTTCAGAATGAATAGTGCGTCGATGGTAAATCCAAATATGTGAGTGATTCTGAAAGGAAGACTTCAGAAAGGCTCCAGCTCTCTAAATGCTGCCTCTGTCCCGGTATGTGCTGCACTCTCTCTGGTGGGACGAGACACAAAGGCTGGAGCTGACCCGGAGAGCCACCTTAGACCCTGTCAGCCACCTTAGACCCTGAGAGCCCATGGGGAGGGGGTGCAGTCCTGAGGGTTGAGCACACTGCGCATTGACCAACGAGGCGTCGGCTTCAGCTGGACAGTTCAATACTCTGCGTGTATTGAACTGTCTGGAATAGCCTGATGAATCAGCTGGTGCAAGCGCTCTTTCTTTCAAGTATGCAAAAGATCAATTAAAAGATTAAGAGATGCTTTATACGTCCCACAGTGGGGAAATTTCAGTGTTGCATCACAAGCTACAAACAGTAATGAGGAGCACACAACACAAGATAAATGAATAATAAATCTATACTAATTAACACCATAAAAATAATAGAAAGAAGTAGTGTAACATTTCTATCGTTAGCATAATAAGGAAATACGTCTAAAATCTCCAACTTTAGTTTGATGGAGAAGCAAGTATAAAACACTGTATATTCCAGTCCCAGAAATATATAGTTCTATGTATACATCTGTGCATGCTAAAGTAGCATGAGGGTCTGGGACAAAGTGACTTAGTCCTCAGTCTTGAGGACCCCCTTGATAACGAGAGGATTCATCTCAAGGGACTTGTCCTCTAAATAAATGAATACATAAATAAAGTTTAACTGTTTAACATTGGACACATTTGGTTCTATATTGCACATTTAAAAGACAGCATGTTGGGGCAAAGAGTATAGCCCGTGTGTCCGTGAGGAGCGCATCCTTCTCTCAATGTGTACCTCCCCAAGGTTTCTCACTTTTTTCCACTGGGTTTTAGAGTTTTTACTTGCTGATGCAGGAGGGTTTCTTAGACTGTTGGAGGATCTAACAAAAAAAACTGTGGTGATGATCCAGGACACTCAACATTCAACAACATTTATGGACATTTATCAACACTTATGAAACTCCCTTTCTATGGACCAATAGCTATGTGTTCTCTATTCTTCGTTTGTTTCTCTGATCTGTGTTGGAGAATTCAACGGCTTTGTAAAGTCCTTTGATGTAACTACTGTTGTGATTTAGGGCTATAAAAGAATACATTTGATAGTATATAATAGAGTATTTTATATTTATGAAAAAAGAAAGTTATAGGTACCCAGATTTAACATACATGTATAGATAAAAATAGAAAACTTTTGTAACTTTTTATTTTTTGAAAGAGTTCCGCAGTTTCCTGTGTAGAACATAGACTGCGTTGGTCTAAGCAGCTGTCTCCTGAAGCTGCTGTGACCCTCGTAAAAGTGTATCTCTGCTCTAATAGCCGCACGGCGTGTTAATCTGTGCCTTTGTAGAGCGCTCTAACAGATTCCAGAGGTGGGACATCTGGAGGGGGGGCAGAGGGGCAGAGGGGCAGAGGGTCAGGGTCTGGGTCTGCTGGGACACATTACACACCACTCTGGAGCAACAAGTGATATATGAGGATAGGCCTTTCACACGGATGTTACAGCAGCTATTTATGTGGCACAAAAGTTATTTATGTGCTTAAAGTGATCCTTTTCAAGCTGTTTAAAGACTCCGAATGTAAGTGACATGTCGGCAGTGAGTGAACAAGTGCTTAAGTCCAAATACTTTCACAGAACATAAACATGTACTTGGAGCCAGACTGTGCAACTGTGCTGTAAAGGCATCTCCTGATCACAGATGATACTTTGTATTTCAGTTTCTGCCAAACACCCATCTGAGTTACATTGTCCTTTAAAACAAGAACTTTTTACAAATTTGATTAGATATTTTATCTTAGTGTAAAGTTTGAGAGAGACACTTTTTCACAACAGTCTCAACATTGTGAAGTGGTCAGTGACTGCCCTGTCGTTACACACTTGGGGCGTGCATACAGCTGTAAATGGATGTGAATAATGTCCCCAATAGCAACAAAAGCCTTTGTGTTTTTCAAATGCAAATGGATAATAACGTGCCTTATCATTTCAATTACACCTAATCTTCATTCAACAATATACTGTACCTATATATACACCACTGTGTGCGTTAAGTAAATATCCACATGCACTGATTTGAAGATTATTGATATATTTGTAAAACATTTGACTCAGTGACAGGTGTCTAACTTAAATGACAAAGTTACCTGATGTAGGGACAAAAAAATTGTCGAGACATAACTTGCCTACGTTGTTACCATTTAGTCCCATGTTGCTGGAGCTGATTAGTGTTAGTGGCGTGTTAAGCATAGTTTTGGCTGCAAACGGAGCTGAGCGTGGAGGGGTGCAGGGTCCAGGCCGGGGGTCAGCCTGCAGGTGTGAGCAGAAGAACATGGGAACGTGTGTGCTCCTAAATGAGGCATCGCGGGCCGCACACCGGCACCAGCTTTGGCTTGAAGCCGGCCGAGCTCTCTGCCCGGCACTACAAAAAATGTCTTTATGCGTGATTTCAAACAACTTCAAGACCAGTGTGGGAAATGAGAGGTCAGAACTAATTTCATACATTGTATAAACCAGATATGGTATAAACCATATTGTGTACAACAAGCAAACAGATAAACATTCCTATCCTAGAGGTGTGTCTCGTCCTCATGAGGTTCACCGCAGCAGCTTTGAACCAGGTGCCTCGGCCCATTACGGCCTGCCCAAAGACCACAAGTCGTGCACTTACCCTTTCACAAGTAAGAATGGGTTAACAAAGGTTAGGAGAGCGCCGCATGGTTATAAACGTTTGAACAGATTGAAGCCAACCACAAGCTCTTTGGAGATTGTAGGTGAATTCTTTATTGCGATTACCATAGATTTAGATTTTATTCGAGCTTTCACATTTACAATGTTTATTAACCAGGTGCATGCATTGTTATATACATTTACATTAAACAGAAATTAATGTGAGTAATAATACATAACATATGCCAAAAACGTTATACACAGTTCGAAAAGGGAGTGAGAAGAAGTAAACGTACTACCACCCTTTCTCATTGTTATTCCGTCAGCTTGAAACAAAAGGCATTCTGACGGTTGAAGTTAAAAACCCTTAATTTGAACATGGCTTTTCAAATTTAAAAATGCAGCCGTTTCAGCCACTTGTCTCAGGGTGCATACAGCTTCCAAAGTGCTTTGGAGTTTTTTTTTCCGTCTGATTGTGTTTTGATTATTATTAATGAGAACAAATCTTAGGAAGTGAATACATCTTAAATCAAGAGGCTTAATATTAACATTCTCAGTTTAGTCGATGTAATGTCTGGTTAGGAACTTCATTTTTGAATTGCACTCACTAGTTGCAATGAAGATTCAATTCAAATTAATTAAAACAAAATTGTATAGCCCTAAATCACAATAGTAGTCATCTCGGAGGACTTTATACAACTGATGATTCGCCAGGACAGATCAGAGAATAAAACAGTAAAAACACAATAAATGCAAGATAAAATAAAAACATAGAGCCATTTGTCCAAAAGAAGCAGATGACCAATGTCCATAAATGTGGATGAAGTCCATAAATGTCATTGAATGTTGAGTGTCCTGGATCATCATCACTGTCCTTAGACCCTCCTGCATCAGCAAGGAACAACTCTAAAAACCCAGTGAGAGAAAATGAGACACTTCAAGGAGGCCCTCATTGAGGGAGGGATCTGATCCTATGGACGGACAGCTGTAGATTCAGGACTGTGTCCCAAAAGCGCTATATAAAACCAATGCATTGTAATTGCTTCCATCTGGTCAGAAATGTCTAATAAACCAGTAAATAGTCTCGGCCACGTATGTAAATAAACCTCATGTCCCAAACACATCTTAAACAAGTGCCTGAAGTTAATTTAATTCATTTTTGCAGTGCAGCAGGCAGTGTGCGTTACAGGGGCTTTTACAAGGCCCCAGTGCATTCCTGCAGATGGAGGGGCCCCGGGGTCATGCAGAGGCCGTTAGCCTTTGGCCCCTGAGAGTAGTGTGGGAGAGGGCTTTAGCTGGAGGTTCAGGTGTGCAGTCATTACTCTGTGACCACGTCTGTGCAAAACAGGAGGATAATATTGTGTTTAGATACAGATCAGTGTAATAGTTATTATACATGTGACAAGCTGAATAAATAAGGACGAGTGCACGATGCACGAGAAGCTAAACCACCACTGTTCATGTTGTGAAATATTTGTACATATGTATAAACATGAAAAAAGGGAACACTACCGTGACCCATAGCCTAGACAATGGCCACAGGAAAAAGATTACATAACTTTGTTGTAGTTCAATCCCAGGTGCAGAATCTTTTGTCCTAAACTAATGAAGATCATACAATAGACAAAAGGCATTCACCTGATTTAGCCCTGTACCTGTCACCATGGTTACTATTTCACTTTTGTATTGACGCACGGATGTCTGCATGTGCGCTCTTTGATGGTTTCTCTCCCCTCTTGCTCTTCCCTCTTCTTTCTCCCCCCTGTCTCCTTTCTCCCCTCTCTCACTCCTCTCCCCCTCTTTCTCTTTTCTCTTCTCTCCCCTCTCCCCCCTCTCTCTTGGGGCAAAGGCCAGCTGTGATTAAGGGCCCGGTGTTTCCTTGTTACCTGCAGAGTAACTGTGCGTCCCCCGAGGCGTGCACTTATGAAGAGGCTCCGTTTACAGAACCGCAGCCCTGGGAGCGATGACTGCATTCCACCTACATCCATCCCCAGTTGGCCTGAATTAGGACGCTGGCTTCAGCCATGGAGCTACTGAGGTGAGGAGGAGCTAGAGCAGAGGAGAACCTGGAGCTGAGGAGGACATGGAGCAGATGAGGCCATGAAGCAGAGGAGGACATGGAGCAGAAGACATGGAGCAGAGGAGGACATGGTGCAGAGGACATGGAGCAGAGGAGAACCTGGAGCAGAGGAGGACATGGAGCAGAGGAGGACATGGAGCAGAGGAGGACATGGAGCAGAGGACATGGAGCAGAGGACATGGAGCAGAGGACATGGAGCAGAGGAGGACATGGAGCAGAGGACATGGAGCAGAGGAGGACATGGAGCAGAGGACATGGAGCAGAAGAGGACGTGGAGCAGAGGAGGACATGGAGCAGAGGAGGACATGGAGCAGAGGACATGGAGCAGAGGACATGGAGCAGAGGACATGGAGCAGAGGAGGACATGGAGCAGAGGAGGACACAGAGCAGAGGATGAACTCTTGCTGAGAAGGACAAATATTCATCTATCCATGTTTTCCCCCTTTACAGTATCCTTTGTCTGGTCGCGCGGCCCACACCAGACACTTCTTACAGTTAATTCAGAAGAATCTTGAGAATTGAGGGACCGGAAGTCCTCCACTTGAGGAAGGACCTCTGCTCCTGGAGAGGGCAAAGATCCTTTAGTCGAGCTAATATAAATAAAGTCTATGTTCTCCAACACTCAATGAATCCTCATTGAGACATTGGACAATCCTCATTGGACAACTGACAAGGCGACAAAGACAGTACTGGTTTTTGCCGTTTAAAATGAGTGGCTTAATTGATTTTATGTTCTACTGTGTCAATCTATCAATAAAATAACTTTTATTTGTACAGCCCCGTTCCTACAAAAGACAACACAAAGTGCCTCACAAGCCATATCACATCAGACATAAATCATGAACATTCAAATCTACATAAACATTACAAAATGATTGAAAACAAACACAAGAAATGTCAAAAACATAAACAAATATTAAAGACATTAAAACTGCACATGGGATTAAAATCCTAAATAGCCACAGTGCATTAACAAGAGTAAAGATAAAATCATGCACTTGTATGCAGCTAAACTAAACTGCTTTTTACCTGAATTTGAACACTGCTAGTTTACAGTTGACATCACATAAAAATCATGTGTAACATTATTCTGTAACTATAACTTCAGTCAGTCTTCAGTTGCTCTCTCACTGTTTTGCTTCTGTGGAGGATAAGAGGATTCTTGTTGTTTTCACCACATTGTTCAGTGTAGGGGTTCTTCTGGCACCCCTTCTGCTGTTTCCAGTTAGCTGCTCTTTGTCAGTGTCAATAATATAGTTCTCAGTCACTCTAATTAAATGGGTCATAATTTGATTTCCCATTGAAATGAGCGTGTGGAGCCGAAGCGTGTCTGAGGAGGTTGCTCCGGAACAATTGTGTTATTAAAGTCTATCTGTGTTGCATGATGAGTAGTCTTCATTTGACATGTGCTTGTGTGTGTGTGCTCTCTCCTCTGGGCCCGGCTCATCCCTCCACTGCCCCACTCCACACAGAGCCAGCGGGGAGCCCCTGTAATCACCACACACGCAATTTCACCCACCATTTCAACAACATTTATTATCTGCACTCAATAAGGAGCCAGAGAGGGGAAACCCCACACATACACACACACACACGCGCGCACGCACTCATACACAAACAACTAACCCATGTACTGTCATTATTTCAAACAATAATAAGTATTTCTTAACCCTTTTAGAACTACAGAAAAAAAAACATATTTCAATTTGATTCCACTTCTGTTGCTGGTCGCGGAGGCATCAGTCCGAGCAGAGACTCCCAGACCAGGCCAGCTCAGAGACGCCCAGACCAGGCCAGCTCAGAGACGCCCAGACCAGGCCAGCTCAGAGACGCCCAGACCAGGCCAGCTCAGAGACGCCCAGACCAGGCCAGCTCAGAGACGCCCAGACCAGGCCAGCTCAGAGACGCCCAGACCAGGCCAGCTCAGAGACTCCCAGACCAGGCCAGCTCAGAGACGCCCAGACCAGGCCAGCTCAGAGACGCCCAGACCAGGCCAGCTCAGAGACGCCAAGACCAGGCCAGCTCAGAGACATCGGAAAATTCAGGACATAGCTCCTTCTTCACCCTGAAACACCGATCTCCCACTCAATCCTTTCATCACTGTGAATAGCCTTAAGACTTCACATTTCATCATTATAATTATCATTATGGGAATTACAGCAAGTTATTTATTTACAGTAACATATGCAATATATAAATAGTAATTTTGATTGATTGATTGTTATGTATTTGAGTATTTTGCAAACATATATTTTCAATCATCATCATTTCAAACAATAAACAATTATTTGAATTTATCAAAGTTATTGAGATATAGATAGATAGATAAAACAGGAGAAAGTACTGTATGTTCAAACAAGTCATTTATTTGTGATTTGATAAAATTCGTTCCACTAAGGCAGGGGTGTCAAACTTATTCTGTCGGAGGGGCAAATTGAAAAACGCTGGTTGGGGCCAGTGGTTTTATTTTTTTATTAGGCCCGAGCCCCGAACGGGGTAAGGGCCTATTGCTTTCACAATGGTGAAAACAAATGGTGGCGGTGCGTGACGGACGCGTCAGCGCCCGTCACGCACCAAAACGTGACGGTTGCGTGCGTAAACTCAAAAGCTTTAAAATGATGTATCACGTGCCATTGAAACCTATATTGTTTTTGCTCGAGACGTCGAAAAAAAAATTCCTTTTTTATTAGGCCCGAGCCCCGAACGGGGTAAGGGCCTATTGCTTTCACAATGGTGAAAACAAATGGTGGCGGTGCGTGACGGACGCGTCAGCGCCCGTCACTCACCAAAATGTGACGGTTGCGTGCGTAAACTCAAAAGCTTTAAAATGATGTATCACGTGCCATTGAAACCTATATTGTTTTTGCTCGAGACGTTAACAAAAAAATTCCTTTTTTATTAGGCCCGAGCCCCGAACGGGGTAAGGGCCTATTGCTTTCACAATGGTGAAAACAAATGGTGGCGGTGCGTGACGGACGCGTCAGCGCCCGTCACTCACCAAAACGTGACGGTTGCGTGCGTAAACTCAAACGCTTTAAAATGATGTATCACATGCCATTGAAACCTATATTGTTTTTGCTCGAGACGTTAAAAAAAAAAATTCCTTTTTTATTAGGCCCGAGCCCCGAACGGGGTAAGGGCCTATTGCTTTCACAATGGTGAAAACAAATGGTGGCGGTGCGTGACGGACGCGTCAGCGCCCGTCACTCACCAAAACGTGACGGTTGCGTGCGTAAACTCAAAAGCTTTAAAATGATGTATCACATGCCATTGAAACCTATATTGTTTTTGCTCGAGACGTTAAAAAAAAAATTCCTTTTTTATTTATTAGGCCCGAGCCCCGAACGGGGTAAGGGCCTATTGCTTTCACAATGGTGAAAACAAATGGTGGCGGTGCGTGACGGACGCGTCAGCGCCCGTCACTCACCAAAATGTGACAGTTGCGTGCGTAAACTCAAAAGCTTTAAAATGATGAATCACATGCCATTGAAACCTATATTGTTTTTGCTCGAGACAAGTCACAAAAAATTCCTTTTTTATTTATTTATTTATTTATTATTAGGCCCGAGCCCCGAACGGGGTAAGGGCCTATTGCTTTCGCAATGGTGAAAACAAATGGTGGCGGTGCGTGACGGACGCGTCAGCGCCCGTCACTCACCAAAACGTGACGGTTGCGTGCGTAAACTCAAAAGCTTTAAAATGATGTATCACGTGCCATTGAAACCTATATTGTTTTTGCTCGAGACGTTAACAAAAAAATTCCTTTTTTATTTATTAGGCCCGAGCCCCGAACGGGGTAAGGGCCTATTGCTTTCACAATGGTGAAAACAAATGGTGGCGGTGCGTGACGGACGCGTCAGCGCCCGTCACTCACCAAAACGTGACAGTTGCGTGCGTAAACTCAAAAGCTTTAAAATGATGTATCACGTGCCATTGAAACCTATATTGTTTTTGCTCGAGACGTTAACAAAAAAATTCCTTTTTTATTTATTTATTTATTTATTTCTTTCTTTCTTTTTTCTTCTGCACTTTGAGCCTTAATTTGACCCCCTGAACATGCATGAAAAGTTGTTAATTTTGGCCCAAAAATCAGACCTGGCGAAAAATTTGATATTTTGGTGTTTATTTTTATGGGACTCAAAAAATGACAGAACAGCGCCACCTACAACAGCCAAATGAACGGGGTAAGGGCCTATTGCTTTCACAATGGTGAAAACAAATGGTGGCGGTGCGTGACGGACGCGTCAGCGCCCGTCACTCACCAAAATGTGACAGTTGCGTGCGTAAACTCAAAAGCTTTAAAATGATGTATCACGTGCCATTGAAACCTATATTGTTTTTGCTCGAGACGTTAACAAAAAAATTCCTTTTTTATTAGGCCCGAGCCCCGAACGGGGTAAGGGCCTATTGCTTTCACAATGGTGAAAACAAATGGTGGCGGTGCGTGACGGACGCGTCAGCGCCCGTCACTCACCAAAACGTGACGGTTGCGTGCGTAAACTCAAAAGCTTTAAAATGATGAATCACATGCCATTGAAACCTATATTGTTTTTGCTCGAGACGTTGAACAAAAAATTCCTTTTTTATTTATTAGGCCCGAGCCCCGAACGGGGTAAGGGCCTATTGCTTTCACAATGGTGAAAACAAATGGTGGCGGTGCGTGACGGACGCGTCAGCGCCCGTCACTCACCAAAACGTGACGGTTGCGTGCGTAAACTCAAAAGCTTTAAAATGATGTATCACATGCCATTGAAACCTATATTGTTTTTGCTCGAGACGTTAAAAAAAAATTCCTTTTTATTTATTTTTTAGGCCCGAGCCCCGAACGGGGTAAGGGCCTATTGCTTTCACAATGGTGAAAACAAATGGTGGCGGTGCGTGACGGACGCGTCAGCGCCCGTCACTCACCAAAATGTGACGGTTGCGTGCGTAAACTCAAAAGCTTTAAAATGATGTATCACATGCCATTGAAACCTATATTGTTTTTGCTCGAGACGTTAAAAAAAAATTCCTTTTTATTTATTTATTTCTTTCTTTCTTTTTTTTCTTCTGCACTTTGAGCCTTAATTTGACCCCTGAACATGCATGAAAAGTTGTTAATTTTGGCCCAAAAATCAGACCTGGCGAAAAATTTGATATTTTGGTGTTTATTTTTATGGGACTCAAAAAATGACAGAACAGCGCCACCTACAACAGCCCAAAATAATACCCCTATGGGACTTTTCGGAGGTCAAGTTTGTCGTAGAAACATGAGATTTGGTACACATGTTCCTCAAGTCAAGACAAGAAAAAAATATTATTATGGCCCCGCCCTCTGACAAACAGGAAGCCCATAAATTTCACTGCAAAATGGAAAAATGAACAGCAAAAGTTTTCATACATGTCGGTTGGAAAGCG